AGTGTGGGCAGAGCACGTCGTGCACCCTTGTTGTCTTCCTCAGCGTCTAACGCAGAGATCTTTCTTAACTTTTGTGGTTATTGCTGTGGTTCTGGAATCTTCTCATGATGACTAGCAGGACCCCAAACAGCACGACCCTTGACCTCAACCGCTGCCTGGGCCGTTAGCTGTCACCTGCCAACTGATACACTAAGACATTTATTTAATATCATTTTTATCTCTGCGTTAACACCTTCCCTCTCTGATTCTTCAATACATTTTTTGACACATCTCTTTCATCATTATTCTACACACATCAGCTAATTTAACTCTTTTCTCTGTCAACATTTCTCTTTCTCTCACACATACTCCATGCATTCTTTCCCACATTTCGTCACAATCAAAAATGGGAGTTTTCACCCAGACCAGCTGGCACGCCTCCTGTGGCCTCACAAGCCGTTTCGCTGACTCAGCACCTATTGCAGCCGGGCATCTCCTCTGCAGCCTTTGCTTCAGTACAAAGTTGCTGAAGTGAGTCTCGCAGTTCCCCTCTTCTTTTTTCTTTTTTCTTTAAAAACAAAAAACAAAAAACTGAGGTGATTTCATTCAGGGTGGCCAATCACTGCGAGCCTGTAATTCAGTGAAACTCTCCTGGGGAATCCTGTTCCGTGATGCCAAAATTGTCGTGGAAGTTTTAAAATAACCTGCAAACACCTCAGCCAGCATGATTTGAAGTGGTTTAATGCCACATTGCAATATGTAGAAACGCTCTGGTTGAACACCTGAGCAGTCTCTGAAGATGGGCCACCACCCTGATTCCTTTTATACCTTGACCAAACTCACAAACAAAGGAAAATCCACAACTCTTACATGTTGGCCCATGTCACAAGGGGCTATACCTTCAGCCCCATCCTTAAAACCTTAAAAAAAGAGAGAATTATGAGTCTGTGTTTCACTCAGCCGTTACCTCCCTTGAGTAGGGTACCTGGTTGTCCTCAACTCCACAATAGGCCCTCTGCGATGGTGCAATAGATATGAAGCCCACTTGTGATAACATTCTACATGCATACAACTGGTGACAGGAGTGATCTTGCTATTACTAACATCTGCAGTACATACATCTGCATAATTCTGCATGTAGAGATTTGTTGGGTGTTTATCCAAGTATTTATATCTCTGATGTCTGAGTGAAACCACACTTTACTAGTAAACAGTGCACCAGTCAGGATAACTCACAGCAACAAGGTCCTGGATTCAAATCCACCATCAGGCTGAGGCCTCTCTGTGTAGAGCTTGCATGTTCTCCCTGTGTCTGCGTCGGTTTCCTCAGAGCACTCGGGCTTCCCCCCACAGGAGTTAGGTAATTGGTGAATCTAAGCTGCCCATAGATGTCAATGTGAGTTTAATGGTTGTCTTGCTTTCTGAGTTGGCCTTGCAACAGATTCTCAACCTGTAAAGGGTATACCTCGCATCTTGCTCTATCGCACCTGGGCAGGCGCCTGTTGCCTAGGTCACCCCCTGATGTATTTACTAGCAGGTCATATATCAATTAACAGTGTTCGTTACTATTGTAAAAATAATAATAACACTTACATCACCTACAGTAATAGTTGTTGTCTTCATCATCATCATATAAATATGGATATTTATATGACTCAACCGCAGGCAGTGCAATGGAGCTAGACCAGCTGGTCAGCAAGCTGTTCTGAACTGTGTATAATAATAAGAAGAATAAGAATGAGAATAAGAATAATACTAGCGATTTCCCTCAGGTTCGATGGTTGCCATGGTTACCACGGTTGCCATGGTTGGCAGCACTTAGATGTTTGGACCAGTCATACAGCACTAATTCAACACCAGACCTCATCTGAGGAAGCCAAAACTGTGTACAACCCACACCAAACGAGCTCCCAGACCTTGAGGACCTGTACCTCCAATTTTAACCTGACAACAGTTTTTGGAAGCACTTTATGATAATGTTATACTGTTAAGCATTAGTATGGTGTTAGCAAGTGCTTAGTATGCCATTTTTAAATACAGATTTATCATTTGAGCTATGATTTTGATTATTACTAGCAGTAATATATTAGTAGCAGTGATAGCTGTACTTGGTGTAAGAGTAACAGATGGATAAACATATGTATTAACGGAGCAGTAATGATATATAAATGATGAAGCGCTTGCTAATCCCTTACTAACACTTTACTAATGCTTAATAGTTTGACGTTATTATAAAGTGCTACCCAGTTAAAAGCATTGATCTTATAAGATCATATTTTTTCACATATCCCTGTAATCCAAATACTCAGGCTTCAGGCTGCTCTAAATGCTCAATGTCAGAAAGGTCTTCTTCACTGAGCAGATATCATTAATATGGCACATGGCTCAGGTTCTATTTTAGTTAAACTTATTGCAGCCCTTTTCTTTAAACTGCTGCAGTCAGCTGACCCATTTACCAAAATGCAGAAACACCAAGCAAGCCGCAAACCACATGCATGCATGCATGCTTTAACTTTTCAGCCTTTTTCAGTATGAATAAGAAGCTATTGAAAAGTTGCATATGGCTTTTAGGAGTTGAACATATCTTGGTGTCTTTACTTTAATAAACAGTAGATATGATGTATTAATGTTGTATGTGGAAATGCTTTATCTGCAGGTGTACAAGGACGTATGTAGCATGCCAGTGACTAAACCATACATGGCTCATAGACTTCGGGGAACAGTGTGGGGGCTACACTTCTGTCCCTTTGAGGATGTCCTCGGAATTGGGCACGGAGATGGTTTCACCAGCATGCTCGTCCCAGGTCAGACTCAATTTTGCATTACATCTGGGCATGTACCTTAGCTACATTATGTAGGTTAAGGCCAAAGTGTAAATTTCAACAAAAATATGGGTGCACCAATTTGATGATTGATCCTAATGGGTTGTTACAATTGCTACATTCACTGAAGTTAAATTCTTTTTTTTGTAAATCCTGGCATACATATTACTGTTGACTAAAACTGAATGCGACGCATCATTTACTATCATAGGTGCTGGTGAGCCTAACTTTGATGGTCTGGATGCAAATCCATACCGAAGTGCAAAGCAGAGGCAGGAATGGGAGGTTAAAGCACTGATGGAGAAGATTCAGCCAGATCTTATCAGCCTTGATCCCACTGAGCTGGCACAAGTTGACCAGGCCACCTGGGAGCAAAGGCATCAAGACAGGGTTGAAGTTCTGGTCAGTGTCTTAAAGCAACTGTGCATTTACAATTATTTAAGATGTATATCTGTATATTTTGATATAAGATATAGTAGGCTAAATATTATTGCCACCCATCTAAAGCATGTTTTATCTTTTTTTTCCTCAGGGATTTGATCCACTTGCTAAAGAAAAGTTTGTCCCCAAGTATAAGAAAAAAGGTCGTAGTTCTGCAGGAGCCATTGAGAGGCGCAAGAAACAAGTGGCTCATGAGGAGCAGAGGGTAAGTAGTCCAAGTTAGTAAATGAAATTTAATTACATCTCAGTGACTTTTATGTTGTATTTGCAGGCCATGGCTGATCTCTCTTGACTTGTTTACTCCCCAGGATGTAATCAGAAAAAGCGTGGAGGACAAAATGAAGATGGAAAAAGAAAGGAAGGAGCGAGAGCGGAAGAAGGCGGCGTTATCCACCCAGAAATCAGCTCTGGACAGATTCAAGAAATAGAAAAGAAACATGCTTTGTGCAGCTGAAAGCCCAGTGGCATTCTATGGGAGTGACCTTTGAACTTTGCATAAAGAACACATTTTTTTGGTTGTTTCTTTCTTCTTTTTTTTTTTTTTGCACACATAATTCCACTGCAGGGAGCAAAACACCAACTGCTGAAACTCTGGGAATAAGGGCTTGCATTGTGACGGGCAACTAATCAATTTTGAGTGGAGCAGCGGAGGAAGCTATATTTGATGTCTGTAGCCTGAAGTGCATCTGAAGTGCATCCTGTTTGCATAGGCAGATGTGCTAGCTGGCATTGATTTCACCCAGAAGTTTTAACCTTGTCAGATGGTGTTCTTTCCTCTGAACTTGCTGAGCATATGTCAACTGTGTTATAATTAGGTATAACTAAATTCTAAAAATAAACAACATAATGCCGAGCCTTTGAATTGAGACTATTATTTTGAAATCACGGTACTGTTATTACTGAATCCAAACCAAGCTGGAATATATTTACCATGATTACATCTTTGGGTGGAGTAAAATTCCTTTTATCAAATTAGAACAGCAGAAATTTGATCATCTGAGGAACTTTAAAGGTTTGGGTATTTAAAATATTTTATCATGTTTTAATTTGTATGTGTGCATGTAGCTGTTTTTCTAGGATTCACATTTTACGTGGTCTTTTCTATCGATGCTTATCCTAATTTAAGTATTTCAAAGTAACTAAATCATAGCAGCATGACAGACGGTCACAACTGTTTGCTACTTTGCTGTATATTTATAGAGGAGGAACAGTTTTATAGAAATGTTCAATCCTGCTCAAAACAAAACAAAACACAGACCTATTTTTCATTACTGAGTAGTTTATTGGTTACTTTAATGTCATACATATTTTTCCTGAGTACAGTGGATCAGCGTTTCCCTTTAACACTGTGGGTGAGAATAACAGCCCGAGGTTTTATTGACAAATAGCAGCCTCATTGAAAATGTATGTCATCCAAGCCTGGCACAGTTGACCATAAAACTCACACAGCATTGCAAAGCTGCCAGTCAGTGTGTAATCTTGCCACAAGAAAGGAATCTTATAAGTAATAATTGTCAGATGCATAAATATTCAGATGTGCATCATATTAGTTTTATTTTCAGTTGTTTAAGAAAATAATTATCATGCATTCTGTTTCAGCTTTTTAATGTAATGTGAAGCCTTCATGAACCCCCCCAAAGATCCCTGTATCTAATCGAGGTAATCCCTTCATATTGTGTGTGAATATTGTGCCCTTGTGGCTAAATAACATCATAAATCCCTCCTTTAAAAAAAAAAAAATACTCTAGTCTTTATTGGTGATTCTAAAACTTCATTATTGCTGTGTAATAAGCCTGTGATTTTATATCAGTTCTATTTTTTGTGAACATGCATTTAAACTATTATACTTGGCCTAAACTATAGGCCTGTGCAGGTGTTGAAAGTAGCAGCCTATAATCATTACTTAGTTATCTAAACAATGTTGTTTGAATGTGAAGTTGCTGCGTGCGTCCTTACTGTAAAGCATCAGCATGCTAAACTTTGCTCTACATCTACAGTTCGTGTCAGTGTAATAATGTGGGAGGCAGCAGACACCCCTATACTACAGCTGATCCTGACAGCCCCCTTTACCACCAGCTGATCTTCCCTTTTCAGCAAAATAAGATACATAAGTACATTGAGGTGTTTAAAAAAATAAAGCTTTCAAATTAAACAAAGTAGCATTTTCGTAGTGCACGTGTAGCTTCACAGCCTAAAGAGCACTTGTGCTGTTCACAGTATTGAAGCGAGGCACAGCCTCCAAATAAGTCCGCGTTTGCTTTCCGTTAACCCTCACAATCCTTGCTCCAATCCCAGAGCTGTGCCCAGCATCGCCCGGACTTTGCAAATCCCCAAAGAAGCACGTACATTCAACCAGGAGCAGGGAGGTGGTGAATGCACATCAGCCCAATAGTGCAGCATGTCTCTGGGTGGGATGTGGTGGATGGACACCATGGCCTGATAGCAGCAGCGTCCGTACGGCATACTTGGTCCACCGGAGAAGAGAGGGCAGTGTGAGGGGAGCACTCCAGCTGCCCGGGCACACAAGCCTACAAACACATCCTCGGGCGGAAGAGGTGTGGATAAAGGTGATGCAGAGGCTGCCAGGGAAATTTTGAGCAATGCAGACCGGGACAATACATAGGCTGTGCCACTGCAATAGTCTGGAAAGACAGAAGGAGGGTAGGCTCCTGAGGGTAGGTAGTGCTTGCTGTCCGGGTCCCGGTCGGGAGCCACATGGAGATGCACCCTGCCAAGGTACAAGTCTCCTTGTTCATAGGGGTTACGGCTCTTATTCAGAAAGTGTAGGAGTGCGCTGGGATTGAACAGGACATCATCATCCACTTTGGCCATGAAGTGAGCCTGAGGGCAGAACCTCCGGGTCCAGCCCAGCATGGACAGAGTCTTCAGTGTGAGGTTGGAGTACGTGTCCAAAAAACGCCCCTGAACCAGGTCTCCCTTCTCCCGTGCCTCTTCTATCAGCAGCTTAGCCAGTCCGGGGTCAGACGCCACGCCGACCATAAAGAGGGTCATGACCCGCAGACCTCTCACCTCCACCTCCCCTCCCCAAGTGTCCCTGATGGCTTGGCGAGCCCTCTGATTGGCAGGAGCCGAAGTAACCATCATGATGAGGTAAGGCTTGGCACGTTGGCACACAAGTGGGCTAGGCATGAGCAAAAATTCCTCTGGTCTGGTAGGAGGGACGCTTTGCGGTGGGATGATACCGATGTGCGGCTCTACCACCGTGTTCATTCCCATGGAGGTGACCCATGATTCAATGAAGTCCACGAAAAGCAGAGCCGACAGGGCTGAGCACGCTATCACCGCGCATAGAAAAGGCAGAATCCCAGGCTTGCTACCCCTCTTTCCTGCCCGGGTCTTACATACCCATAATGCGCGTCCGATCATGACCAACCTCTGCTGAAGACCGCTGTGGCCGCCACAATCCCCCCTCTTAATCCTTGGCTGTCCCTCGACTTCACAGCTAGAGGTATCTCCTTGTCATTGCGTCTCTTTTTCTTTTGCTTTTTTTAACCTTCCGGCGTCCCCTTTCGTTCCGCTTTCGGTCTCAGTTACAGTAGGAGCAGCAGTAGACTGTGTCAGTGGGAGGATGCACCAGCTTTTAGTTTTGTGTTGATGCTGCAGCTTGATTGGATTTTGAGAAAGTAGGGTTTGCAGCTGCGCATATGAAACGGTCGATTCCCTCCGCTACCCTCTTTCTCTTGGCCCAGCTCTTATGAAGCGTTTATGATGAGGTAAAGGTCGAGCTATGCGCGATAAATACCAGGTACTCCACCCATGCTTGTTTGTCAGACTTTCCGGGGCATAGCTGTTTCTGCTTCTTTGCTTTGAAGGTCGGTGGTTTTTAGGTCACAAAGCTACGTATTCCTTTACAGCCAGATGGCCGTACAGGCTCTGAAATGACATCCAAAGACTGTAATCATAGCTTCTGATCCTATTATTTAGAATCAGTCAAAGATGTGAGTCTTGGCTGCAGTCTTTTTTCAATGAAGTGGCAAAACCCCAGCGTGCGATTTGCAAACTAGAAAATCCCAAGTAGTGGAAAAATATCTGAAAATGTGCTATTTTCAGATATGAACCAAATTTCCTTTGAATCAGTGTGGAGCGGCGCTGCGTTTTTCTCTTCTGCAGTCGCTCCTGTCATACGGGATGCAGGGTGACACCTGGTGGTGATGCTTGGTTACGTTTCCTTCCTGTCCTTATGTGAGAGTGTGTGTGTAAGCAAATTGCCTATCCCACACGCTAAAACTGCGCTTGGGGAAAAACCGAAGCAATCAAGTGGTATTTTATTCAAAGTGTAGTTCTTTTCATTACAGTTAACCACCCAGAAACGTCCTAGGTCTTAAACAGCTTTATCATAATTATCATTTATCATGAATAATAAGCTTAAAGTTATCATTTATGAAATGATAAGTTTAAATTGTGCTGACTCTGGAGTGTATTGAATAGAGAATCACATGAATAAAAATAAACTCACTGTCACATTTTATGTGACTGTTCATATTAAATCCAACAACAAGTGAAAATCCAAAACCGCTTCCAATCCTTTGTATTAATG